AGAAAAAAATGATTTTTCATATGTTTTACTAGTAAATTTCAAGGAGTGACGGATACTTTTGGCAGGGGGGTGTATATCAGTTCGTATGAATTTGTCCAATACTAGTGCATATTTCATGATAGAAAACTAAATATTATTCTCGAGTAGATGGCTCTTGATTTTGTGTGTCCTTTATTAAGCACCGCTGAGGTGGACCTCTAGAGCTGCTTTTTTCATATTTAATAGAGATTAACAGGAATCTAATCATAAACTAAAAACTATTATTGTGATTAGAAAGATATTGAGTTAGAGCCCCATGTCAATGGTAGACTTGACAGGGGACAGGGGTTTATTTCTGCAAGGGAAGTGGATCGAAAGGAGAGGAAAGAGTTTGTCGAATTTCATGTAAGGATGGATATATTTTCGCACCACGGGCAGTGTGCACCTTCAGGGGCATATTGGTGGACACTGACCCCGACAGGTAAGGCGGAGAGTAGACGTGATTCCAATTATCTAAATATTATCTGTTAATATCACCGGGTATTCTTAATTAGCTATTTGAGCGAACTATACAATTGTTACAGCAATCATCACAATGCATACTTAACGCTACATAGTCACTATCGATAAGATAAAGTCGTCGGGCTGGACCAAAATGTTCATATTATTGAAAGATCATTACAACGAAAGATCTTATTATAACGAAGATCATATTTGAGTCACGTGAAAAATCGTTATATCGAGCGAAAATTTCTTTATTTAGATAACTATTCTATCTTAGAAAAGAATCCAAGGTGCCTTGTCGCTTCGCATTAATTGAATGTAAAGTATTTTTTTTTTCCCCTTTATACTCAACAACGGTTTAAACTCTTCATTTGTGATAACAGACTCTTGGCTCTGCTGTCTAATATAATTAGTATTTACATCTACTCCGTGAACTGCTTCCGCTTTTGACAATAGGAAACTGTTCTTCAGGCTCATCGGGTTCGTCGGGTAGAGACCGTATTTTCTTTAACTTTATACAGTTTAGCAAGCTCCGCTCGAGTCAAATGAGTTGAGCTTTCTCTTTTAAACACAACTTTTTTTTTTGAACGCCCATTAGAGTAACCCGCTTTATTACAGGTTTTTTACTAATCATACTTCTATTATCCATCTGCCTTTAACGAATTAAAGAATAAGCATTTATCATAAAAATTGGTTTAATTAATATAATGTTCGATAAAATGATTACCAATTATAGTGATGATTTACGCACTTCATTATATCGAGATCGTTTATTTATATAAATCGCACAATAACATCATTATACGTTATATCGCGAGATTATAAGTATTATCGTTATATCGAGCCCAATTTTATTATAACTGACTTGCTTCCGGGGAAAGCATTATATTAGGCCAACTTCATCTTATCGGGTAATCATTATATCGAGAGTGACTGTGGATTTGCATTATTTACACGTTTACCTGATGAAAATCAAGCGATCAACTATCACCTATCTGCTTGAGTGTCACTTTTGTCCATACATTTGCCGTCGGTTCTAACCATTTCGCTACGCTATAAGTGTGCATCCATGGCGTAATGAGTTTATTCTTCGTACATTCCTCAATTGTGAATATTCTATCCATTGTACACAGTGAAAGTCGATATAACGGTTCGTTGATATAACGGCTTTCGCTTAGCACGGTTTTTTTCTTGGAACCAGAGTTTTACTAATTAAATATAGCGGATTTTGGTATTAAATTATTGTAGTGCGGTTCCAGTGATTTTCGATGAACGGAGCTTAATGAGACATTGTTCAATATAGCGGAATGATAACAGAGTCCGTTAGTTAACACTAAAGTGGCCGAATCCGTAATAATTTGTAGTAGATCCGTACTAAAGTGACCGAATCCGTTATAATCCATACATAGCAATATTAATAGCACAAATTTAATAAAGATCAAGTTGTCCAATATTTTTGCTTCTTGTTAATATTACTAACATACAATATTATGGGAGAAAAAAGGACAAGGGTTTCGTTAACGGCTTTAAAAAAGAAAGAAATTTGCAAACGTGCCTACATTTAACAGAAAGCTCTAGCAAAGAAATATGGTATTTCAACCCAGCAAGTTTCAGATATAGAGGTCAATGGTTATTTATTGAAAGCGAAACCTCAGCAGCCAACTTTAAAAGAATACGTGGAGTACTGTAACATATGAAAATATAGAAGAAGCTATGAAACGATTATGAGATAGACGCTAGTTGCATATACAATTTGAACAAATTGAAGAAAGCAATAATCCTAAAAGCATAATGAAAAAGAAACAAACGGATCTTGATCAATTTCTTGTTTTTGATTATTGACAAATATACTTTTACTGTGTACATTAACAAGCTTAATAAATATCAAATAATAAATAAAAACCGTTATATCTGAGTCTGCTATATCGGATTTTCGATAAAACGGATTGTCACGATATAACAAATTTTGTGCCTGTCCGGAGAAATCCGTTATAAATTCATTAATTTATTACCCAAAATATATGCCTTAGTATTTTGTCTTCATACAAAAACTTGACAACTTAATTAGCATTGATTATAGTTTATTTGGTCCAAATTTCAGAATCTCTTTTTATCGATTGTTGTATGTTAGTGGTATGTCAATCAATTACTCACGCAAAATTGTAATTACCAAAAAGGTATGATTGATTTTCTGATTGGGGCATTTATCGTAATGATACTCGTCAATTGTTGTAATTTATTTCGTCGATAAAGCTAATTCGAACATAGCTAGAATAATCAAATAATAGCGTAAACAGTCCAAAAAAGTATAGTTTGATTGGGCAATGGAAAAGTGAGAAGACCGATGATATTATTTTTAACGGATGTATATTAATAAATAATATGTTATGGTTTTTTCGATAACGTAAACGTAAGTTGATATTATTATTGCGTCAAGGCTTTTCTCCATTAACAGAAATGTGGTGACTTTATTTATTACGTAATACGATGACGTTCAAAATACTACCGACTGATTTATCTTGGTTGGCATCGAATAACTCATACACTTAAATCTGATATAACGTTTACAATACTCGCATTAATATTTCACTTAGCCTATTGTACGTTATTGTCAGGACTGCAAAAGGTACGTACATTAATTCGGCATGGTTAAAATTTTAAATATTTTAAGCTTATCTGAATTTAGTCTAAACGTATAGAAATGATATCACCTAGTGTTTTAGCACATGGTTCGACATCTATTAGAGAATAAATAGAACAGAAGTAACTAAATTGAGAAAAGTTTTTAGAGATTGAGCACAGACATATTATTCTTGGTTTAAATGGCTATTACTACTTATTTGTTATTTGACAGATTTAGTCTACCATGATAACCATGATAACCGTGTGACGAAAGGGTGTATACAAACTCTAGTCACTACAATCTTTATGATGACATTATTTATTATGCGCTATGACTCGTTTACGTTTCATCGTCATTATGACAAAGATGATGACTTTTTTGTGGGCGGGCCCATAAAGGTATATAGATAAGATCCCCGCGAAGATCCACATAAGGACTTTACTGTAAATGTGTACTTGACGGTTAATGCGAAAAATTAATTAGGAATCGAACGACTTGAATGGCGAATAAATATCAAAAGAAGTTAGTAGCATGTCCAGGTGATGGCAAACGTAACTATGTGAACGAGTTAAACAAAATTTGTATAACATTTGATACTTTTTTCTGGTGAAAATATAAACTCTAAAGGCAATGACTGTGCAGTAAAAAGTGTCTTGTGTCTTGAATCCAATGAAATGCTAGAATGTTCTGATCGACGGTTCTTAACATAAAGCAAAACAAAGCATTAGCGTTAGTATTAGTGAAACGTTCCCCCAAGTTGATCAATTTACAAAAACGATAATTTTCATTCTGATGCATAACAAACGTATCAACACTCGGTCACACAACACAAATAACGATAAACGCTTAATGGGAATATCGGATTAAATTAGTGCAGACAAAGACTTTTTGATCTTCGTGTAGATCAACTTTTCCGGATCACATCTCTGCCCCATGATTGATTTTCATGATTTATCAACATTCTCCCGGTGATATTTCAAGAACCAGTGTAACAATAATGCGGTTATATTAAACATTAGTATATATTATAAAATGGACAAACACCAACTCTTCTTACGTATCACATTGATTTCTACTGATAAGCCAAAAGTAAAAATATAGGTGATTATGTCTATTTAAATACTGCAACTACCACATTCTAGATGGAGTAACCAACATGATCTTCCGCTCTACAGCACCCGATATTGAAATCCCATCATTGGGTGTCTACCAGTACGCTATGCGAAATGAAAACGGAATTGATGACAACAAGCCAGTATTTATCGATGCTGTGACTGGTGCCGAGTTGACATTTGGTACATTAAAGAGGGACTCGAAGAGACTGGCAGCTGGATTACAGGACAAGCTCGATTTGAAGAAGGGCGATGTGGTGGCTATATTCTCACCTAATCAGGTAAAGGATTTCAGCGTAGACGGAGAAAGTTAAAGATGGACGGTGATTAATGCGTGTTTATGATATTATCAGATCGACTATGCCGTAGTCCTCTTTGGCGTAATTGCAGCCGGTAGTTAAACATTTACATCACATAGTTTCTTATTGCCACACACCCATCTTCATATATCTAACCAACATTCATCATTCCGCAGGTGGCATCCCAACATTAGCAAATCCTCTGCAAACACCGAAAGAATTCCAAGCTCAACTCTGCGATTCAACCGCC